TCATTTAGTTTGCTGGGATCAATCTTGTTCTAATACCCTTGCACTAACAAGTTCATAGGAGGATGACATCCATTGGTTAGTTTAAATTTAATGAATTTACTCCTGGAGCTATGTCACAGTCCTGAACTCAATCAGAGTTCCACTGGGAAGAAGAAAGGGAGAAATGCATTTGGATAAGCAACAGAGATCATTACAGTATCAACGATAGCATCACTTCTCAATGGGGGGAACTCTCTAATGTCCCTATGGCTTGGAGTCAACTTTTTGACAGTAAAATATTTGGAATGACTAGATAAATGTATTCTATTGATGGAAGAAACTGTCRAACTTCACTTGAAACCCAATACCATTTTTTGCATAATCATTAATACCTAAGTGCCCAATCTTTTCCAAATTTCTTGGAGGCCCAGTCCTAACATGATACCTTTCAGAATTGAGTAGCTTAATTTGTAACATGGACTAGAATTTTAATTGAGCTAGATTTGCATCTGTTGAAAACATGATAATTAGGTATGTCTTAATTGCAGAATGACTGCACTGCATGAAAGAGAAATAAGCAGCTTCACACTTTACCTTCTTTAAAAAAAGAAACTTGAAAATATCTGTCTTTATAGGTAATCACATGGGAAAGTAGCTGAGAGTTCAGTGCACAGAGCAGGTTAAAACAGGCAGAAATGTTGTCAAAAATAGACATTTCTATTTGTTTGGAAGGAGATAATCATCTTTATTTGTTCAGATTGTCTGCAAAAGGAAAGCAAATAATCTGTAAAGATGAACAAAATTAAAGTGGAAAACATCAAAATTTATATATAGCATTTAAAATAGTAAATTATCCAAATGTAAGTTTATGATTAGTTCTTGCATTGTAATTTAATGTATGAACACAATAGATCAAGTCATTTACTGCGGATATATTACTGGTACTTTTCTTAGTTGAAAAATTGTTTACATGAATTTTTTTTCTACTTAAGGGAATAAGAATATTTTATCGCCCTCATTATAAAGATAGTATTAAATGTACAAAGATTGGTTTTGAAGCTTAGAATCTGACTAGCTTATTAGTGACTTTAAATATATATATATATATATATATTTATTAAACGCATGTAACCAATTTATTTGAGCTTTTAAAAAGCCAGAGCAGTTTTACGTAAATGATTCTTATTTTTCTCTATCAAATAATTTCTGAGTTTGAAGTATATATAATGTGATAGTATAAAAGAACATCTTATGTTTGTACATATGAAACTCCATATTGCTAAATATTTTTAATTAGTTGGCATTCATAGGAATTAGTTAGATCAGTACATGCCCCCCCCAGTAGAGTTTCTGTGATAATGTATTATCTAAATTAGAACAAGCATAAAGAATCCTCAAATGTGCAAGTATCATTTTAAACAGTCCACTTGCTTCAGGCAGTAAAGTGAGGTAGGAGTTTTCATTTAAAATGTGGTTACAAAACACAAAGTTAATAAATGATTTAATACTTTTTCTATTTCACCCAATTTAGAAAATAAGTTGCATTACATATACCAGAAAATTATTGTGAATATGAAAAGAATTGGCAACAAACATGACTTTAGCATATAGTGAGTTGTGAAGGCACTGCATTTATTCTGTTAGGGAGCCAAGAGCAGACATATGCCCCTTGAACTCCTGCCAAAACTATTAGGCAGAAAACTAACAGAATCGCTACTGATACTTCCATTCATGATTTATGATAATGGTTGCTGTGGAAGACTAAGTCATTTACATTTATTGAGCTCGTTTTTTTGTTTATAGTTTCAGACATTGTAGAGGATTGTAAAATCCATTAGAGGATATGTATAGTACTAACAATAATAGCATAAAAATATACCAGAAACCAATTGGAATTTCACTGCCTACAATGGATGTTCCTGGTGTTGCTGTAGTTGGGTTGAGGTAGCCTTGTTAGGCTTGATTATGGGAGAGGGGGCATTTTCCTGAAGATAGAGAAATGATGATATTCAGAAATCTGACAAAACTTTGATTGGGAAAGGGCACTGTCCAGATTTTACTAGTCATTTTTTATTTCCATGGGCATTTATTTGCAGCTGCTGTCTGCCTATTAGATCTCATTTCTAGAGTCTGGAGAATGGGAAACAGACATAGATGAGAAGTGCAATAATAAAAAAATTGTACAAAGAGCTCTAGGAATATAAGCAAAAGGTGGCTTTTCTGTAGGAGTTATAGAACATTGACTGACATACATTTAGCTCACTTGAGTATAGTAATAGGCCTCAGTTTTTCAGCTTTATAGTGATTTGGTCAATTATTTTGAATTTGGGGGTCATACCCAAATAGGATTGAAGTAGTGGACAGTAGGCAAATAGAACACAGCCAAGCTTGAGGGTATTAGGCAGGATGCTGCAACCCTGCTTAAAGTATATTTGAATTTTCTTGGGGGAACTCCCCTTTGAAAAGACTACACATAATTGGCAAGCCCTTGGATCAATTGGCCAAGATTTTCTTTGCCTACTCTGTGTATACCAGAAATAATTACTGCCTTAATTCAGTGTATGTATTTTCACTGGGTCCATCTGAAAGTAGTAACTGCCTTCCTCTGCCAAACTTGCACAATTACTTTTTATATAGTAATTGATAGAAAGGAAAAGAAGCAAATTTTCCAACAGCCATCATGCCCTTTGGAGGAGGGTGACTCATATTAGATCCCCCAGTATAAGGGAAGACCAAAGTCATCAATATGGGTTAGATAGCTGGCCTATAGTCCTGTGCTCATTAGATCTAGCTTCYTGAATAAGTTCGTCAATAGAGCCACAAGTCACAGCATTAAATGTCCACATGGGATTGGCAACAGGTTTTTGAAATGCAGTGCTGACTCCTGGAGTTATCTTTTGGGCAGACTGTGTAGTGACTGGATGATAGATCACCCAAATACATGCTGTATGAAGCATGGAATTGAGCAGGCACACACAGAGTTGATCTAAGAAATGCATGAAGGTCTTGCACTGTACAAATGTACAGTGATATCRTAGTAGATACAGTAGTCCCAGACTGTGAAGGTGCTGCTGCCAAATGAAAGAGGTTGGTTTAAATGACCTCCAAAGAACCTTCCAGATTTAGACACAGTGATGTTTTTACTCTTTGGCTGTACACAGGGCATGACCTGCTGGGATAGAAAATATGTTGGCTCATGTTTTTAACCAAATGTGTCAAGCAAAAGAATAGTACACCTTTGTTTTTTATGTTATTCTAAAGTAGCTCACATCTTTTTAAAAAAAMCAAAACTATACTGCTTGGCCATGACTGTGYTATCAGCTGATAATCTTAGATTTGTGAGGATTTAATAACAGAAAACAAAAATATTGGATCTATGTTAGCTAGTTCAATTCCCTTAATACTTTGTTTTGGTAATTCAAGTGCTCCTTGGTTGGTTGAAAGGCAAGACCAAATTTCACTTGATGAGATATTAAGGTTAGGTCCTTGCAAAAGTTTGAGATAAAGTCCTCACTGTCCTATTTAATTCTGTGTTATTAGAAACTCAAAGTGAGTTGTGCTTTATTTGTTGATGCTGCAAAAAAATGACCTTGGAATTCAAGAAGTAATGAAGATGCCATAGTTCTGAATGTATTTAGAAAATAATCTTAGGCAGCCAATCTCAGAAAAGATTGCTGAGAATGACTGTTACTATATGCATCTATGCTTTTCACATATTTTATACTTGTATGGGTGCATTATAATTATATATATATATATATATATATAATGGTGGTATTCATTCATACATACTCATACATATACACAATATAACAATATGATTTGGGCAATATCATTTCCCAAATCATATTGGTAGAGAAATTCTTAAAGTTCTTTCAGTAGGTAGGAACCTACTTCAGTTATTTGCCACTTTTTTCAAATGTAAAAAGTTTGAACTGCCCTTGTTTCAAATGTTTAAAATATGGGCTAAAGAGAAGAACATTGTTATCACTATAGCTTTTATCTGCAAAATATGAAGAAGTGAGGGATATTGATTTATTGATTTTCATGGCTTCATCCCCTTCTTTTTAGCTGCCCTTATGCAGATAACCATGCAAAATTATTGAGAATTAGAACCTGTAGTACATATARTAGCATTTACTAATGATGTTAGCAATAACAATATAAAGAAATGTTACAGAGGCCTTGAGGATCTGTGGTTGTTATGAACCAAAAAATTCACTCCTTGGTGTCCAGAAATCATAAATGGAACTGTTTGGAAGCCTGAGGAAAGAAACCCAGTGCTAACAATAGTGTGCTTTTCCAAATTAATGAAGGACCAGGATGTGTCTACACTGCTTTAATTGAGAAGAAAGGAAGCACTTGGGGAAGGAAACTTTCTTTCCTTTCTTTCCTTTCTTTCCTTCCTTCCTT